GAGGTTGGCAATTGTGTGAGCTCAGGACTGAGGTAAATATAAAACTACATAGAATGTTAGAACCTCGGCGAACAGAGCGAGGGGAAACTTGCCCTGGGCCATCTACCTTATCTATGTAGTTACTTGTGTAGCTAGTCCGAGGGGAAAAGTCCCGTGTGTAGGTGAGGAAGTCGAATGGACTTATATTTAATTTGTGGAAAGTATGCGCGCACAGTGCCAAAAATTGGGACGAGGACTGCGTTGTCCGTTACAAGTGACAAGCTGCTCGGACACGAGGTGTTTGAACCGTCGTGGGAGCTTGTGCAAGGCGATAATTTCGCGGTGGGTTGAAAGTAAGACCCATGTCTGCGCGAAATGATGACGGACCGGACAGATTCAGCGACGATGTTTAACGTACCTCCGTGGGAAATATCGAAGGTAGGCTATATCGTGCTGGTTTGGACAATGGACAAACATAGATTTGAAGACAGGGTCCGTGTGGCGAACGTGTGGCGCGAGAAGAAGAAGCGAACTGTGTCGCTCGATGCAGATTGTTCAAGTGCGAACAAAAAGTAGTTGATAAACATCTAGTAGTTAGTCAATCTGCATCCTGTGACGAACACGCCATTGGCTAGATGGTGTGGGTCGGTGGATATGCTAGAGATGAACTACGGAATATATTATCATAAATGAAGGGCGATGGTTAGGATTTTGAAATGACAATATAGAAGTTCGATAATTGATTAACCAATAATTCTCTATAAAGGTCCTGAGCTGGTATAAGGTTGACAAGGTTGTAAGAATGAGTGGGACATTAAGGGGAAGATAGATAAGAGTCACCAAGGGTTGGTTGTAAGCAAGGCTCACGTGGTGGTTGGAATTATTCGACGCCTGAATTACAGGGTGAATTTTGAATCGATTAGGGAAAGAAATTATTTTTCGTGAGCCGTGCTTACAAGTAGGAGAGGTCATATACAAATAGGAATACAAAAGTTTAGGTGCTGGAGGCAAACTTTTATAAATAAATTGATTATGAAAAATCTATTGTTAATAGTAAAAATCGTAGAGCATTAATAGGTTGAATTCCTTTTTTTTTAAGTTACGTTAAAATGGAAATTATTTAATTAAAATGACGATTGTTAAATTCTACTGGTAAGGTAACTAATTAAATGAGTTACAAATATCTAGATAATTGATATGGAGAATAAAATCATTGTTAATAGGCGTGGAGAGAATAAATGGAGCTAATTATGTAAATATTGGGACAATTTACAAGGAATGACTTATTTAAAGAGTGAATGGTAGGAGTTAAAACAATTACACTCACGAGTTATGTTGGTTTAGGGCGCAGGTAAGTTCATTGAGCTTCGGGAGAGTTCTGTCTGTGACACTGTGCGTACCAGTGTTGTACATCACAGTAGCGGCAGGGATACGGCGGAGTCTTGTCCATGATGGAGGAAGGTGTCCTGCCCTGGCACGGTGGTCGTTCTTGGGTAGATCTAGTGCTGGAAGAAGTGAATGGCAGCTCCATCTCCGTCGTAGGCGAATACTTCTTCAGGGTAACGGTTCAAAAGTTGGCGAGGAAGGGGTTGAGGGCTCGAAGAGGAGTGGTTACAGTTGAGTTGGGTTTGGTCGATCATCGTGGCTTGGCTCCTTGTTTCTTCATACTCCGGTATATGAGGGATTCGCTTCCCGGCCAGGTCTTATCCTGTCGACTCTTCTATGATATGATCCTGTCGACTCTTCTGTGATATGATCCTGTCGACTTTCATTGTGGCACTATAGTGATAATAATGTGGTGAGTGAGAAATAAGGAAACAACAAGTTTGGAAGATGGAACCTGGAAGCCATCCGAGAGAGAGGGAGGTAGCGAGAGGGCTGTCCGCTGAACGAATGCCTGTGTGGCCACCCGCGACTACCAAAATAGTCCCCCCAGGTGTTGACGGGCGGGGCCCCTTTTACCGCCCCTTTGGAATGTGATGTCTAAAGTGTCTCGCTTTAGCTGCCCATCTCTCTCTCGTTGGCTGTAGGTTTGTTTTATTAATCCTGGAAGAGCATATATTATGACATATATATATTTTTTTCCTGTAGAAGAGGTTAGGTGCCCGAAAGCTAGAGATTTTTGTGAATTGCATTTCCAAAAATAAACTTATCCCTGAAAGGTTGATATTTTCATCCTGATATTTCTACAAGGGATTATTTTATTGACAAATGTTTAGAGATTAAAATGTATATATTTAGGACACATAGCTAGCGCTTTGAACTATTTTCAACAAAATAATACCTAATCCTTGAAACTATCATTTTTATCTTTTATAATTTTCTATTTGTGTTAACTCGTGTGTCTATTCATGTATTAAGCATATTTACGCAAGTTTGGCCTTAAACACCCATTTCTTGGTTTATCAAGAAGCCTCTGAGACCAAATATCTTTTTGGTCGCAGTGGTACAGCCTGTTCCACGCTGACGAGCGCCAACAGCGCGAAACGCGTTCTTTTTTTTTTTTAATTTTCCCTAGTACACGTGGGATTGGCCATGATAATCATAGTGGGTAGTTAGCGACTGCTTTTACTGTAAGCGCACCACATGTCTACACATGTGAAAAGCAGTTCGACTTTGCACTTACAAATGTGCCAGAACCCCGTTTGGTTACTTGCAGTCGCTGGTGGGGTTGGACTTTTGCAAGAATCGGGGGCCATTGTGGCATTATTTTTAAATCAGAAAAAAGTGTCCAATGCGGGAATCGAACCCGGGTCGTAATGGTCGAAAACCAAAAGGTTTAACCAACCTTCCACCGACCCCTTCTTAAAACGCGTTCGTGGATGGCTTTTCTTGATTTATCAAGAAAATAGGTTGGCAAAATATCAGGGAACATGCTGAATCAATGTTTAGTTGATTTCTGTTCCACTAGATGGCGCTCTGCCATCTAAAAAGCACGTGCGCTCCTGGTCGGGATATGCCTTTATTATTTTAAATAATTTTATATTGAGTAAACCAAACTAAATATATTATATATATGAATGTTTCACAAAGTTAGTTAATTACATAAGTATAAAAAACACATTGTTGGCGAAACACTCATTATTAATATAGAAATATCGCAAAATCAACTTCATAAATATATATTACCTTATATATTCTCAGTGTATATATTATTGGTGCGCTTCTGGAGTCTTTTGTTTACATGTCACATTTTAACTTACTGTCTACATCTTATGGATTTAATTGTAATCTTTAACAACTTAATTTTATTAACTTTCATGTATAATTATTTTTACATAATTTTGTTTTGTATAATTATTTTTCATAATTTTTGTATCGTTGAATTTGCATACTTTTGTTTCCTGTTTTTTTTTTATTATTTTAGACAATAATCTTTAGTTAAAAAGTGTTAAAAAGGCTTCTCGGATGTTTTCTCCCAGTACATCAGATCACAAGCGCAACAATATACGAAAGGTATTTGTGAAATGTATTAAGACAACAAACGAGAATAGAATTGTGAAATAATAGAGTTTCCTTTAAAAAGAAAGAAAGTAATCAAATCTCTAAATAAAAACTATTTTTTCCAAGATATCTATAACTAGCTCGATAGAAATATGAAACTATAATTAATTAAAGAGATTGGAATAACGGAGTAAATTTTCTTTATCGTATAAGGAGGAGGGAATTCGTTGTAGAATCCTTTCTGAAACAATTGGAGGGATTTATTGAAAGTTGTTCGTTTATTTAATAAACGCCAAGGTATAAAATCAATCTTCCTTCTTTATTAGCTCATTTTTTTGCTTTCACTCTCTATAGCAGTTTTATCAAAGATATATATATAATATTAAGAAAAGGCAATGTTACATTTGTACTATTTTTTCATATATAATATATATAACAATCTTCTATTAAATATTGTTTTCACATATGTTATCTTATTTCCATTTATTTTCAATATATAATATTACTTGAAAAGTTTCTCAATAGTTTCAGTAAACAATTGAATAAACCTACTTAGAAATATGCTATATACTTTGCTATTTTAAATATATATTATAGTTTTGTTAACACAATAACTTCTTTTTTTTGGCACTATTACATCTAGTAATACCGTTTTCATGTAAAATTTGAATTTTAACGAAGCCTTTTCACGTGTTC